GGGGGGGGTCTTGAACCACATCGTAATATTACACTTTTGGGGTGTGAAAAAAATAAGGGGAAAAAAGGGTGGCCTTGGTCAAGAAAGGCTGCATGGTGTGCATGAGAGGCTAAGTTAGGTGGAAATTATTTTCCAAATATATTATTGCAGCATTGAAGAGGCATACAGGGCTTTACACAAGAAGAAATGGAGGTGGAGGAAGAAGAGGAGGAAGAGGAGACAGAGCAGGAAGTAGGACCTATATTTGGAAGACAGCTCAGTAGATGCCCCTGTTATAAAAAATACTTTTGACATAAAGATGAACACTGCCTTTTGTTGATGATAACTACACTTTTTCTTTCAACTAGCATCTGCGTTTGTCGCGCCCCCGATTTTTAACATTTTTTGGTCCTCGAATATTTTTGCATTAAAAAAACAAACAAAAACAAAACCACTGCTAGGGAATAAAAATATAAAAAAGAAAGAAAAGAAAAAGAAAAAGAAACCAAAGTTTACTTTTAGAAAGAAAGTTTATCTTCACTTCAGCTTCACTTTGTCTCTTTCTCACTTGTTGACACCATGTTGATTTGTTATTTTATACTTGAACAATATTATATAATAAGTACTACATACTATTTCTATTGCTGTTTCTCTTTTATTTTTCCTTCTCTTTTGTGTTGTAATTTGTTGGTGTGTTATTTTTTTTAAAATTGTTATTGGTCTGATGTGTTGTTTTACTATTTTTTGTGTTTATATAGCGTAGTCATTTTATTTCATGTTGTTCCTACCTATATAATTAATTGTTATGTTGGAGCGTGTCTCCACCGAAACCGCACACTGACATTGCGTGTGATTTCATAATTTACATGTAATAATTTTAAGGAAAACAAGACAGATCCCAGTCAGAGATGAGGTAGGAAGAATGCGGTGGAGATGGATTGGACATACTCTCAGGAAGTCAGGCAGCTGCATAACAAAGAAAGTTTTGGATTGGAACCCACAGGGCAAGAGATCAAGGGGAAGACCTCGTGGAACTTGGAGAAGAATCACATAAATCGATGTACAGAAAAGTGGGAAGACATGGAATAACATCAAGAGGCTAGCCCAGGATAGAGAAAAGTGGGGGGTGTTTGTCCATGGCCTATACCCTGGTGCAGGGTGAGAAAGGCAATGATGATGATGATGTAATAATTGTTGGCCTACTTTTTCTTGAATTATAACCCACGTTTCGGGTAAAAACGGGCAATTTTCGGATAGGTGGGCAACCGCACGTATTTGTTAATTTCAGTGGTTGTGTATGTGTGCTGTCCTAATTTTGACTTGATTCTGTTGTGAAATCTTTATTTTTAACGTTTTTACACTCTGTGTGGCTACAAATGATATTCTGCACAAAAATTGCGGTGCCTTAGATTAAGTTACCCATATCAACAAAGTGCAATATACGTCGTCACAGGGAGACAAAGAGATGAACGCTTGAACATTAATGGCAACTTTTATGGCAACGTTTGCCGTTTTTGTGGCAACTTTTGGACAAAAAAATGGCAACACACGCAGATGTTAGTTTTCAGCATAATGATCAGTAATACATGTAACAGACAGTGGAATCTTGATAGAGTCAACTCTTGTTTACAGTACAGCCAACACCTCACTGAGGTCCTGTTTCTTGCCTTTTTTATTTAAGTAATTGTGTTTCTGATACATGTACAGTCAACCGCTTGAGTGTTAACCTTGCGTAAAGTCAACAATTTAGGGCTAAATCCCAAGATGGATTAATTCAATTAAGAAGAGTTATTTAGGTTCTGAGCTAGTGGTGTACACACCTACAATTACTTTGTTCACTCATTATCTCTTGTTTTGGTGACAACTTCAGAATGATACTCACTGGAATTGAGCTAACATCTTGTTACCAGGTACTTTGTAATTTTGTAGCTGTCATCTTCAATTTTCAATGGCGAGTACACTGTAGTACAATGGATAAAGTCAACCTTGCTCAAAGTCAACACTTTTTTCGGTCCTGAATTACACTGTAATTTGTTTTTATCTGTAATTAAGGCGCTTTTGAAATTGACACGAGTTCAAATTTTTCCTAGTAAGAAAGAGTGTATGCAATATTTTGCTTGAATGATCTACTCTGTTATTTTTTTTTTTAGCAAACGTAGAACTGCTTATTATTATGTGCATACGTATGATATCTGTGTATGTGTTCCGCGCAATGTACCGATCTTAGGATTGCTTAGGATTGCGCTGCTCGTTTTAACGATCGTATAATTGCGTGCCAATCTTAAGATTTTTGGGGCAATGTAAAGATTGTGTTGCGCGTTTTAACAATTATATAATTTTGTATCATTCTTGTGAGCTTTTCAGTTTCATATCTAATTTTAATTTTCATATTTTATCACTTTTGAAATATCTGTGAACGTTCCTTGATGTGAGTAAAATAATAAAGATGGAAGTGAATTATACGATCGTTAAAATGCGCAATCTTGTACCGATCTGTAAATTGCATATGTTAAACTTCATGAACATTATGTAAAGAGCATGGAACAATGATTGTAACACGGATTTGTGCGATATAAATGTCATAATATTATTAGTATTATAAGCGAACAATGTAATATTACGAGGAAAGGGTGGGGGCAAATGCAAGAAAAGTGTAAGGGGGGGGGGGGTCAAAAAGTCCCAAAAAGGTGTAAGATTATATTGAACAGCCCCAAGTCCAAAAGATGCATGACGTTAAAAAGGTTGTTTTTGTTTTTTGTTGGGGTTTTTTTTTTGGGGGGGGGGGGATGCACACGTAGTATGCGTACTCAATTTACCTATTACCAACACAGATTCGATGAGGTACTGTAGAGCTATTACGAGTTCGAAAGATATCGTGAGGTCCTGTGTTATTTTCTAGCCCTTTGCTAATGCAACGCAGGTTCGGGTGGTCGATATCACTCCATCACCACCTGAAAGGTCGGGACAATAGGCCGACGGTCTGAAATACATACATGTACATGTAGGGCCTACCAATTTTGTCCGTATAGAGATCCAAATAATGGAATAAAGGAGAGGGTCAGGTCGATTTCTTCTTGGATACGGTGGTCAATTTAAATTGATGCCCACTGGATGCTATTGATATCAATACTTTGCTGCCCTTTAAATTCATGACTTGTCATCAAAATGTAGTGTTTGTGCTGCCCAAGCCAAATAATATGGCTGAGCTAGCTACGGAAGTACTGTAGTACATGTAGTAGGCTACATAACGATAACGAAGACGCGCTGCCATGTCTCTGGCAGCAAGGAGTGATGTGAGAGAAACCCATTTTAAAGAGCATTTCATATTCTGAATTGCCATTACAGTTACTACCGGTAATAAAGCCAAATGACATTACAAGTAGCCTAGTAGATCAGTTGTTCACTCGAGAGCAGACCTGGGCATCGTTTTTTTGTTTTTTGTAAAGTGTTTTACGGCACTCGCAACTGCATAAGGTCATATGAGCGCGCGAGACACACCTAATATTTTCAGTTGGTAGGAAATTTTGAATTTTGCCCGGGTGGCGGCCGAAACATACTCTTATCGATTTTAGACCACCAAGGGATCTTTAACGTGTGCAACTTGCACACGGGCCCTCCGAGATTTTTTTGCCCTTGTCCGAGAAGGCTAGGTGTAGATCTTTCCTACCAGAAGATCAGGGGCGTGGCAGAAAGACAGCAGTAAGGAGGAGCCAAGGAGTAGCAATAGAAAGAGTCAGGAGCCCAGAGGAGGGGGCAAAGGAGGTGAGGGGGTGGGGGCCTGGACATCGTACGTGTACAGTGAAGCTTCGTTATACCGTCTTCTCCAACCCTTTATACACCGCCAGGTTTTGGCAATGTTCGAAATGGAACGCCTAGATACACAGCTTAACTAGCCTACTTATCCACACCACTGGCACTGACTGCCTAAGCTGTAGGCCCTACTGTATTTTAATTTCATCCAACTAATGTTAGCTCAGATTGCCAGAGGTAGGCCTTCCTTCACACGGAACCCACTTTTTGACTGTTTGATATTCGTCGTATGAATAATCTCTCTTCCAAACCAGATATTATTAGTATTAGCCCAATGACTTCGAATAACCTTAAGGCTGGCAGGCACCTGCAAGACTAGTTCTTTGATGACTTACGTTCAAGTCTACGTGGCAACTAGGTCCAATGACTGACGGGCATCGAGTAAAAAAAAGAAAACGAAATAAAAAACAAACCATGCGTCAACCGTGAACAGAGACCTTGACAAAGCCTAAGCTTCAGATCCGGCAGAAGTTTTCAATTTGAACTTGAGTTTACAAGGTAAAAAAAGTTTAGTCTAGTTTGAATAATTAATTGTTTGTTCCAGCAAAGAGAAGCACATCGACACAATACATGTAATAATACTACTAATAATAATCATTTGGTGCAGGGAAAAAGGAAGACGGAATCAGGAGGGGGAATTTAAAAAGTAGAAAAAGTAGGACCTAACGGTAGCGCCCTCCATCCACTGTCTCGGTTTGAATTTGTACAAAGGAGAGAGAGAGAGAGAGAGAGAGAGAGAGAGAGAGAGAGAGAGAGAGAGAGAGAGAGAGAGAGAGAGAGAGAGAGAGAGAGAGAGACACCTTTATTTTACTCAAGATTGAAAAAAAACCCCAATCTATCTCGGCATGCTCAGCGCACTGCTGTTGCGTGGACTGTGGACATTCAACGTCAGCAGAAGGACTTTCAGCCAACTGAGACAACGGTACGTTGTGACTTGGCCTATTCAAAACTGACCCAGAATGGCCGCCCAAGGTAACAATGCCATACTTAATTGTAAATTAGGAGAGTGCACCCGAGATAGTATCAGGACAACTGCTCAAGCCAAACCGCAGGAAAGTTTTCAGTTTCAATTGGAACGCCACGATGGGAGTGTAAATAGTACAAGTGTATCCTGCAGGAAACCACATGAGCACTATCTCGCCATTTCTTCAACAACACAATCAACCCATGACATTCCCCCAAAATGACTACGACAATGCCGCCGCACATTTTTACAGCTGCAGCAAGCTCTCACCAATGCCTGAAACAACATTTCGCAGGAAGACTCAAGTACACTAAGCGCAGGAGAGGCACAGATATGTTCTGAATGCACATGGACATCACAGCGTACTGATGTCGTGTGACTTTTGGATTTTACCCATCGTCAAATTTCAGTCATAAAAGAGACGTTTTTTTGCTGAAAAATAATCTCTTCATCAATTCTATGAAATACTTCATATTTCAATTTTGTGGTCGAAAGAATCACTATTTTTCTGCAGGAAAGACAAACCGATAGATTATGTGAGGCGAGGTGAAATCAGGTGCTTGTCAAAACAATCAAAGTGGAGAAACTGGCATTTTTCTGCAGATTTGAGAATTTTACTAAAATTTTCGTTTTTTGGCTCAACACCTTTTATGCCGTTTAAAGAACACATTTCTGTGTGGATTTTTACTGAAAAACGTTGATTAAAGGCACAAAAAATGTAAATTTTCAGTTTCCACCGACTCTCAAGCTAAGGAAATAACTCTCTTTGGCGGTCATTTTCTCACTAATTTTACCCCTGAAACCAGGTGACCCCCACCTTCATTCGCAAATTTATATCTCGACTTGTATTCAAGTTCAAGATAAATGGATATTTTTCCATCAAAGGCAAGACAAATGAACAAGCTTTAACTTTAAGATGATACCAATAACTCTACATGCCCCAAAATTGACGAGAGCCTGATTCCACCATGTCCGGACACACACAGTGTAGAACTGTTTTTTGATCGCCAGTATAGTATAACTTGTAACGAGATTTGTCTGCATGTATTGTTTCACTGGGCATCAGTAACACTTTAGATATATAAGAAACAAGAAGCAAACGGCACCAGAATATCCAACAAACGGTTCGATTTGACAATGATAAGGTTATGTCCTTGGCACAGTGGAGAGTTTGGCTGGCAGGACACTTGACCTACAGTTCAAATCCCCGCCTGGACCATTTTTTCGGAGCCCTGTTCATTTCATAAGCCAGCCTTTAATTTACTTTAAAGTTTTTAACCATATCTTATGCATTCGTATATATGTATGATGATAAATGATAAGACATTAAAATTGTCATGCCATTCCTCCTGATATAACTGTTGTGTAGCAGTTAGGCGTTTCGAGGTCGCATACAGAAGACATGAATTTGATTCCTAAGCGTGGAGAAATTTTATCAAGCAGGCCTACGTATCTCCATCTATCTGTTGGGACTTGTCAGCCAGTCAATGATGGCTCTAACAGGTAGAGTCGAAGCAGCCAACCTCCTAAAGGATCTTTACTGTGTTGATGGGGGTGTAAAACATCTACAGTACTTACAATATTATTACATTATGAAGTCTCTGACTTTGCCCGAGCCAAACAGAGTACAAAGTACAAAAACTCTTAGTTTTAAACACCACTAATAAGAAAAAAATCAAGTCTGAGGATAGAGGGGGGCTTCGTCCCTGACGCGGCTATACTGCCAGCCACAATTCCCACCACGTATAGCTATTTCATGGAATATAATGCCCATATAAACATACTACCCAATGACAGTACATGTAACACAGATAAAGAAAACACCTAGTTTTAAAAATGTATCTGTAACATCATTGAGCAATTTATTAACACAGAAACATTTGAATAATTTCTAAAAATGTACATACCCTATGAAAGCAACACAGGGAAAATAAATAAATATCAATCCAAGTATTTTCACAAGAGTGAACCTTGCACAGAAATTTGCAGTTAGAATACAAAAGTAGACATTTAGAACTGAACTCTCAAAATGTGATACATACAGGGTATATATAATATAATAGTACTAGGTATGTGCAGACAAGAACTAAAACAGCCAAGTAAAAGAATGATATGATGGCAATTTGGCACAGCGCGAGAGTTTCCCCAAATCATATATCATCTTCGTCTTACAGGGAGTCTGAGGGTCCCATCCTATTGGTAAGTTCAGCTAAATCTTCTCCAGCTCTCTTGAGAATCTCCGCAGCAATCTCACCTGAGAACAAAATTGAAAGTGACGTAATGTCAATACATAGATGTGAAATAATATAATCTGGGTGCCGCACTCCAGGGAAGATATTCCAACACAAAAATACATCATGCAATGTTAGAGAAAAAAGTATTTCATTCCAAGTACAAGGGCTGTCCCGGAAATAACAAGAAAATGGCTATAAAACGAGCTTTGTTATGACAGAGATACAACTTACACAGACAGTTGTCTAAACATTCCTTTTATTCCTAAATGTATTCCCCATGAATGAACAATCAAGTATTTTACCCATCCCTGTAGAACTTCGTCAAGTGAACAAAGCCAATCTCTATCGTGTTCCACAAAGTTTGTGCCACCAGTGATTTTCTCCCCAGCTAGATATCGCTGCATAGGTGAGGTCCAATCAGATGGAAGTCTGATGGGGACAAGATCAGGAACATATCCAGAATGCTTTCATAGGGCCCTTGTAAGGCACTGGCAGGCCCACTTCCCATTTTGTCTTGCGCATTTCGTCAGCATTTGTCATGCAAACATCAATGTGCAGTGACTTGTGGTAATCTGTGAACTGTTATGCCATGGAAACAATAGAGCTGACGCATTTCTGTGTCCAACCTCATGAAAGATAGTGCTGTGAACTGCAGACTTAGAAAGATATTGGGCATCAGCAATGTCACGAATTTTGAACCTTTCATTATGAATGAGCTTTTCAATACATTCATCATTTTTTCTGTGTTGGCAAACAGATGACGCCCCTTATTTTGTCACCATACAGATTGTATGCCTCCTGGAAGTAAAATTGCACCAATGATAGAACTTTGGACTTTAACATTTTCACCATTTCAAATTCGGTCAGAATTTAGGTGGGACTTTTGTCTTTAGCCTTTAGCGGTGAAGAAACGGAATTACAGCTCTAATCTCACCTTTTGACCAATTTTATTTTGTGATTGTCATCTTTGTTGTGATGTAGTAAAATGGTTGAATTCATTTTAATTTAAGGGTGCACCCACATCAAGTATTCTCAGAACAACTAAAAACTTCAAAAAGTAATCTAAAAATAATAGGAATAGTATGGCAGTTTTTCTGTTATTTCTAGGACAGTCCCCATACTATGGCAACTGCCTGCTCTATATACCCCCTCCCCAACAACAAATTCACTGAAATTGTTCCACACCAAAACTGTTAGTTCAAAATCACACTGATGTATGCATTCATTGATTCAATGAATCTCATTTATAGAGAAGGGAATCAAGTTTATACACAGTAACAAACAATTAAGAAATGGGATCACTTTTATTACATATAAACTAACACAGATAATTATACCCACCAACTACCGATTAATCACTTAGTATCACTTTCTTTTCCAGTGATATTTTTTCCGAATCTTTGTCTTACATTTTTATCTTGACTGGACATAGTTTGAGATGAACAGGAAATAATAATAATTGCATTTTTAGCTCATGTTCATGTTCTACAATCTGCAGCATCCACTGTGTGCTTTACAACCATTTGTAATCGAATAAATACCATAGTTATAGAAAGGACTACAAAAAAGAACTGCAGCAGAGATCTAGCGCTTCGTTAATGCCTTCTTTAATAATAATAGATAGCATTTGTATAGCGCAAATCCCCGCTCAACAGCAGGCTCTATGCGCTTTACACTATATTATTACCCCAGCAGACCATAGAACACTCCGAAACATTCTCAGCTTCCCGGGAAGCATACAGTGCAAGCAGCTGATTAAGCGCTCAAACACTAACATACTGACAAGATCTTTCGCTGTCTATAGCCGGGTACCCATTCCCACCTGGGTGAAGTGAGGAAAATTCGTGTAAAGTGCCTTTCCCAAGGACACAACGTCCGGTCCCTGACGGGATTCGAACCCACGACCTTACGGTTGCGAGTCCGAGAGCCTAACCACTAGGCCACCATTCAATCATGTATTACCGTTACAAGTCTTCGCCCCCTTCGGAGAGACAATGTGACGATGTCATGCAAGACCAAGGCCACATTAAGTCATTGACTGGATTTCCATCAACTCCAAAAGTGCATCTTGTTTTCCCACCCTTCCTCCCCTCTACTCAAGGTATGATACATCATAAAATGTTGGATGATGTTTTTACTTTTTTCTGCTCCCTTTTCCATTTGTTAGAAGATTTTTTTGATGATTGGACCACTGTTCCAAAGTGCCGGCTATAAAAGAACCTTTTTTATTTTTCAATGAGAGACCGGACTCAGGGATTTATTATAAACCTGCTATAGCTGAACTCTTGTTTTAAATGCAACTGTTTAAAGTGGGGCCCACTGTAGAAAGTTATATTTATATTATTCAATGCCGCACTAAACTTAGATAAAAAGGTCATTTCAAAACGTAAGAAAAAAAGGAGACCAAAATTGAAGTCACATATCTACAGCTGAAGTTTACAGGCATTATTCTACCATGAGCAGGTTGCCCCTCCTACTGAGATGCTGTGTCTGAATAAAGTCAGCCCCCCCCACCCCCCCCAACACTCGAGGATACTTACTTCCCAGTCTGTTGCCTCTGACATCCTCTATCTTTTCCCTGACGCCCTTCAGCATCACTGGAGAGGGTGTCGAGGTACGCATCGGTTCCACTCTGAACGTTGGACTCAGACTCCTGACTCCCGGCTTGCCACTTTGCCACGAGCCTTCTGGGTTGAGGTCAGAAGAATTCAAACTGGGATCTCGATTTTCCACATCAACATCTATGCCCTGAAAGATCGAATCTGGTTCAACCCAGTCTGGCCCAGAGAGCTTTTTGCGGAGCTGCTCCGACTTGCTTAGAAGTTCCCTCGCATCCACAAGCGTTTGGTCATCACCCAGGACGAAAGGGGACACAGGCATATCTATCGCTGCGGGAGAATAGAGTATTCTGGAAGTGCTGCTGCTCTGGTTGGTAGCAATAGCAATGCTGCCTCGTACTGGACTCCCTGTGTTTTTCTGAAAAGCATCTTGACTTTGCACTGATATATTTAAGAGCGGGGAAGCGTTCAGCATATTGTCGTTGCTGCAGTGATTTTCGAGCTGCTCATGAGTCATCACACATACAGACCCGGTTCCCGTTTTTTTGTCTGACCCTGAGGGCAACCAATCACAATTAAAAACTGAAGGTGTTGATGGAAGAGGAACAGTGCTGCCAGAGGGAGCATCAAACGACATACTGTATCTCTCAACATCAGAACTTGACCGAGGTTTATCCTCCACAGACATGTTTGAATAACTTTCTTTTTCACTATTGAAAGACTGAGTCAAATCTCGACTAACACTACTCTTTTCCCTCGAAGCTCTGATATCAGAGAGAGTTCGAACTTTCCGGAGTAGGCATGTATCTCGCTTTCTCCCTACCTCCTCCATTTTAATAGGCACAGAATGGTGTTTAATATTTTCTACAACAATGAATGAATCTCTATTTGAACCAAAATTCATTTCTCCCCTTGACTGTTCATTGGTGAAAGACTCCGTGAGTTCCATAGACTTCTCTTTGCTCCGATTAATACTGGCAAAAGCTCCTTCTTTGAAATTGGAAACTGAGCTGCACATCTCTGAAGGAGGAGCTGAGGCATTGCTTTGTTGAGTATCCTGAGTAATAAGATTTGAGTTTGAATTGCATTCCAAATCAAATGGAAAACACTGACTGGCGGTGTTGTAACCAGTGTCCTGGCTGTTGGAGGAAGACTGAGGAAAAGTTGTTGTTGCAACGTCACTTGCCGATTCTGCCGACAGGGCTGACGACAAGAAGCCAGCCCCGCGGAGAAGGCTGTTGTTTTTGCTCTGGTTTGACTGCACCTGACTGTCGCTGAGCACAACGGAAGTTGCACAAGCTGGAGCCTCAGAGCATGACATGTCCGTCTGATGTCCGGTCTGGACCAGCGTCTCCGTCTTGTCTGCAACGTCTTCATCCTCTTCATCAGCATCATCTGACAGGAAAAGGGAATCAAGGCACAAAATACAGTCGAACCTGCTCCAATGATAATAACTGCAATTACATTGCACATATATTTATTTATGTTCTACAGTATGCTCTAGGCACCTGACAATTAATGACCACCTATCCAAGACAATCATTTGTACAAAAGGCCATTTCCCACTTCGCATTTCTAAAATATCATATGACACTGACCAAAACATCTACTCGTATACAACTACTTTAATCTTCGACAATGAGAGGCGGTAAAAAACCCCACCCAAACTTCATCTACTAGTGTGAGGAAAATTTGGTTACAAGGATTTGAAGAAATACATTATCCCTAGCATGTCAAAATCTCATTTCTCCAAACACTGCTTGTTAATTCTGTATTCTATCTTTTTACACCCATGTATAAAGCAGGAAAGAGTTCTCAAGTGTCACGAAAGATGAAGAGATACAGGTTGCACATACTAGGAGTCAGTGAAACCCACTGGATACAGTCTGGATGAGTAGAAAATTGGGAAGACATGAAACTACATCAAGAGGCTAGCCCAGAAAGGGGAAAGGTGGAAAATGTTTGTTCGTGACATATACCCTGATCCATGGTGGGAAAGGCAATGATAATGATGATGATTCTATCTTTGTTTGTGTAAAGAGTTCACTCCTTGCTCAAGAAAATCTGTGAGCAACAACCCACCCAAGAACTGTAGCAACTAGATAAAAGGGTTGGTCAAAGTGACCAGAGCCTCAAGAAACAATACTGAAAAATATAACTTCATTAACCAAGAATGAAACAACGGCATATGTGAAGTCCAACTCACCTAGAATAGATGAGAAATCCAACTGCATTATTGCCCTTGGGCTGTCCAGCTCCTCTTGATGGGAGAAGAAAACCCCGGACGACCTCACAGATCTGCTTGCTGGAGAAAATGAAACAAAGAGGGGAGGAGAATCAAATCTCACAAAACTGCCTGGGTGTTTTCCAAGACCAACAATTTTGTATGTTTAATGGGCAGCAACAAAAAGTCAAAACAAGGAAGTAAGACCTACACGCGACATTATACTGTAATTTTCAGAAAATCAAGTCCTACATACATGGCAAAACCTAAACAGCTCAGTTGAAATCATTTTCATAACCATATCACTGAAGATAAAATCTATTAAATTATAACATTCAGACGAACATACTGTATAAAAAAAAACAACTACAAAAGTTTAAAAAATCTTACAAGAGGTCATACTGACACCTCTGTCTCTTAGAATGGGAAAACACTAGAGTAAAAAGCAAGACCAAAATAACAAACAAAATAAATGACATACAGAGGATAAAAAAGTAAATAAAATGTATTTTAACCCCCCCCCCAAATACATTAAAGAAATCCTTACCCCTGCCAGCAATAGGTGAGAGTTCTGGCGAGGCAAGCAGGTCCAGGCCTGAAAGAGATTGTGGCTGTCGATCCCCACTCTCAGTTCTGATTGGACTTGAAGAAAAATGGCCCTGAAGAGTTGATAAAGAGAGAGGAAAAAAGAACCCAACTACTATGCTGCAGACAAAATAAGACATGTACTCTGTGAAATTTACTATAAAAACTTCTTCATAAGAATAAAAAAGAATTTAATCATATTGTTTGAAAAAAAGGTACTTTCTTTAGAGAAGCTTGTGACTCAATGTACTGTTACCAGAGAAGTTAGGACAAGATTTGTTTTTCTACAAAAGTACCACCCTGAATACAGATCCAACTTATCATTAAGTTGAGAACTTCAAATTTGGCAAAAGCCATCACTCCTTCAACGTATACCCCTCATTCATAGGGAAAATGAGCGGAATTCACAAGATGACATTCTGAGTAAGTGCTGATGTAAGCAAGATTGATAGAAAAAAACAATAGATGGGTGTTGTTGAAGCAGGATCTCTTGAATTGAATAGTTTCACTCTCCCAGCTGCGCATCTTTCTCATGAATTCAGTTTTTATCTCTGTGCTCAATGACAGTTTACCAGTATATAAATTATAAACTTTAATGGAGATTTTCTGAGGAAAAGAAAATTGAATAAGGAGTGTAAATTTCTGCTCTGATAATGTAATGTGTTGAGTATTCATTCGACGCATTCTGCAGTCATTGGTCTTGATTCTACTCTGTGAAAGTGATGTTAACAGGATAAGACAAGGCAGACTAGTCACAGATAAAAACATAATCTAAAGCTTTCTGGGTTCAGGGGCATGAGTCGTTGATTGTGTGGGCTAAGTTAACCCAAATGAGCTTGGTGTGTGTTAGATTATATAGGGTACATGTAGCCTACTTAAATGAAAGCGTCTTTAGGGGCTACATATAGCCTATGTAAAGTCACCCAAGGGGAAGAAAAGAAGGTTAACTCACAGAACCAGCTTTTTTTGGTGTTTTCCTTTCCCACTCTGGGGTTGTCTGCTTGCCTGGTGAGGGGGACCCAGCCAGCCCTTCTTCTCTTGACCTGGACAGAAAAAAAAAAAAGTAAATGCTAGCCAATTACTCTTTAGCACCCAAGAAAAGTAGATTACTCATTTCTCATTTCTAAGTTTTCCAAAACAATATGGTACTAAATATAAAGCCGAGAATGCATCATTGGGCGTGAAATTGCTTTTAATAGTCGACTGTCTGCAAACATCAAGGGTAAATGTTTCAAGGAAAGAAATGCCCAAGTACACGAGAAAGTGGGTACATAGATTAAACATTTTCCCCCCACTTTTAATCCATGGCAGCTTTCATTCTCAGGATTTCAGAAAAAGTTGTTCCCATTTCTAGAGTAGAAAACACCTTTTACAGCAGAGCTAACGAAAACTTCTTCTTGCTTCAACATGATACCAAGCCAAAAGACAGGAGCTTCACAGTGGAATGGTACACAGTGAGTCCACAAACTACAGGATACATTTCACAACCAACAGATAGAAAAATGGGAAAACTGGAAAAAAAAAAAAAAAAAAGAAATAAAAAAGGTGGAGGAAGCAACCCACATAAATCAATTTGCCATGAACCACTCACATTCAAGGGCAAGAACCCAAGAGTAAACTTATTAACAATCACATTTTTATCAGCAGTATGTGGTCGTACCTTGACGGCAGTCCCGGTGACGCGCTGATTACACTGTCGTCATTGAGCTGGCTCAGTAACCGCCGCCTGATAAAAGAGTTGCCGCATTCTGATGCCGGCGACGCTTCGGTTTTATGCTGTGGCAACTGGTACTTGTCTGGGAAAGATGAAAGTCAGAAGTTTGAATATTAGAAAAATATCTATCACTTTACTCCTCTTTTCATTTTTACAGATATTTGGCACCCTGACATCAAATCAAACAGATCTTGTTCTAAAACAAAGTCTCACTTTTGAGTTTGAACAAAGAGAAGCACATTGACACAATGACAGTCATTTAATACTGGGAAGAAAAAGAAAGACAACCGAAAAATCTGACGAAGAGAATAGAGGTTGTTGAACTTACTTCTCAGAAAATCAACACCGTAAATACAATCTGATAAGGGTACACGTTACAGCTTGTGCCAATCCGCAAGGATGTGACTAGTGGACCGTAAGATAACCTTAACGGGAGGAACGACCCTTAAGGACCATTTTCTATGTTTGTTACCCGAGATCAAATCTAAGTACACATATAAGTTAGGCATAGTAAAATCTCCCCGATACGTAATTTTATTTTGGCATAGCTACAGCGGATGGTATGGAAACGGCTGCCATCTTGAAAAACCCCCCAAGGAATTTCAAATTCCAAAGGCTTTCTTATTTACTGACCAAATTTGGTGAGAGTATACCTGAACCAGACCTTATCAGCGTAACAGCAAGTTTTTTTCAATAAGTGCAAAAGAAAAAAAAAAGAAGAGAAACTTCCCAAAGTTTAAAAAACCTTTTCTAAATTCAGGTTGCGCAATCGCTTGCCAATGCAAAAGTGTTATTATTTTCCCAAATATCTTTGTTACATTGATGGCAGCCTTGCCATCTACGTTTGCAGAAAGTTTCATGTCAAAAGGATGAAAACTAAGCGGGGAAAAAACTGAAAGAAAAAAAAGAAAACATTTTGCGAAAAACGACATTTATTGTGAATATTCAGTATAATAACCAACCCTCGTATTTTCAAAGGCAATTTACGAGTAAAATAAAGACTGTCTCAATTGTTTCCATGCTATTTTTAGAAAAAGAACTGGTTGATCTTCAAAAATCAGCCAACGTCTCAATGTACATAGCCCGATCCAAAATCGGCAAAATCAAGAGTCGCTACTCCCCTTGGGCAACTAACAAGCTGTAACTTGGAATGTCCCCGCCCAGGACAGAGAAGGAACATGAAACGGTACTGTTTTACTTTCCCTTTGTCAACACAAATACTCTTTGGTTTTCACCTAATAATGAAGAAATATCCCTGGCACTTGCAATACAATCGGGTCATATAAGTGCTGAAGATTTACAGGTGTTACAAGAGAGTAACAAACATAAAAAAGAAGTAGGAGAGATAAGGAGAATTAGACGTTTGATTAGGAAAGAAGGCGAAAACCACAGCAGAGCACCTGTCAACCATCCACTTATACAAAGTACAGATTTGCCAACTTTTCAAACCCTAATCTGGGACACCCATTGAAATAACGTCAGATCACATGCCAACGAACAAAATAACACCAAATGGGACTAGTTTTGGTATAGTCTATGTTATGTCTTCACATTTCCCAAATTCGGGTCCCTCCCGGGAAATTTGGGACAGCTGAGAAGCTTGCAAAGTAGCTTTTATTATCATATCAAAGTCATGTGTGTTTAGCTGAGATTAAGCACCAAAGAATTCCTGTTTACAGACCCCTCTCTCCAGCCACAAGAAAACACAACTGACAACACATCAGCACAACAACAGACTAGAACAATAGCAGCACAACTGAGAAGTTGAAGTACATACATCCTAATCATGCAACAAGACTTCACAAAATCAGAACGGCCATAAAAAAAAGTTGTGAGTTCATGTCTTGGAACCCTCTGCAATGCATGTTAATCACATTGAAAAATGAGAGCAGCTGCTGAGTGTTTCCCCTTGGGCTTGACATTTACTTGCTGAAGCTAAACTCACCTCCGAGCTCAGCCAGAAGATCAACATGTGGAGGAACTGACAGTGTCGTCTGGCTGGACACTGAAAACACATAATGGTGGGTACATTGTTAGCCCAGTTGGCTTCAAACTGGAATATGATGCAAATGATCATGTTTCTGCTCCCTAATGGGCTCTTCTTAAACTTTTAAACCGGACATGATTTGGGAATTTTTGTTGGAAATTGATGTAAACTTCAGAGGTCCTATCTCTGAAGTGATATTAAAATGTGGAAAATGGCGCTAAACAAATGTAATGCTAAAAAAAAACCCCAACCCCAACAACAATATGATAAGTTTATCAAATTGTTTATCGTTAACACAATGTCCACACAACTTTGTTGTTTCCTGTGTCTAAGGAAGCATCCTTGAACTTGTGATGTTTGGGAAGTTTTATTACAAATGCATGTTATTGTTAACTTCAGAGGTCTCTTCTCTAAAATGATTATATTACACTGAGGAACAAATGCAAGATTTTTAAAAATCCAAAAACAAATGCCAACTTTCTTCTTCCACTGTAATAGTAGTCAACAAAGGATTGTTTTTCAACTTTAAACTCTAGAGCAAATGATTTTAACATATCGGTTATATATGCCAGCTTCAGCATTGTGTTTCTTGCCATTTTCAAAGGTTCCCTTAAACTATTGATTCATACTGACTGTCATATTTATTCAGAACTTTTCTCAGGTAGATTTATTCCTCCTATAATTTTGACTGCTATAAACCTAAAATAATTGTTAACCAGAACAACAAGCACACAAGGCCTTTAAGCCTTTTGTTCTCATAATATGAAGTTTATGCGAACAAGGAAAAAGGCTTTCAGGACAATCTTCACCTGACATTGAATTTTTTTTCCAACATTTTTCAACTGCTATACCCTAAAAGAATCATTAACAAAAACAAAGAGCACAAGAAGACTCTAAATCTTTTGTTTTCATAATATATGTGAGGTTTATGCGACCAAAGAGAAAGACTTTGAGGCCAATGTTCACCTGACTTGATGGCTCCCGGTGTCCTTGGTAGGACATGCTTCACCTTCTCACTCCACGGTGACGGGACAATCAGCTCATTGGAGAAAAATTTGTTGATGGCCATCTGGATGTGAGGATCTTGTTCCTTGTCACTTTGGTGAAGAAATACGAATCAAATGAAAGATCATGGAGCGTGATAGGGGGTGCCCATTAGCGCGATCGGGTCAGGTCTGGTCGTTTTCTAGTGGTTTCAGTGCACACTACAACCCGGCCGCGATGGTACCGGCGACCAGGAAGTTAAAGTAGAGAAACCTTTAACCTCAATGTCTTCCAGGGCTCTTTCCCCAGTTCCCTGTTGCAGTGCTGCGGCAGCCTGGAATCCCATAAACATGGGCTAGATCTAAATCAATAGCTTTCTATTATAAAAGATCGTTCATAACAAGATAGTTCACTTGGCCAAAAAAGAGTCCGCACATTGGTTCAGATTTCACTGCAGTCTTTGTTTTGAAGCTCTCTTTCGTTTCTCCAGAAGAAGAATAGGAAAAGTACAGTTTGTTAGTTGTGCTTTAATTAGTTTTCACACAAGTAGGGTAACTTTGTTTGCAAAATCCCCATTTTTTCGAAGAGGGCGCCACATGTGACTCAGCCTCATTGTGATTGCCTGCAAACCACCCAATCGCGCGATTCGCAGGCCTGAAAACAAACGCATTTGTTTTTGCAGGTCACCGACCGAGTCGAACAGTTTATGCCCCGATGGCTGCTTTGCGTCCTCAATGTGGCTAGCCCTGACTGTCAAATCGACCCGACCCGATCGCACAAGTGGGCACCGCCTGTAAGCAATAGTCATATTATTCTAAACATCCTCATTTGGAAGGTAGGAACAGGTAAAACTTACTCAAAATGTAACCAAAAGGACATGTTATCAGAAATCAAAATTGGACAAAGATTATAATCAAATTAAAAGCTAAAAACTTGAGCACCCAAAAATATGCGGAAAACTAGCAACCCTATAAAACTGCTTTTAAAAATGCGACACAAAGTAGTTAGTTTCTATATCAAGAAAAAAATAACCACTGAAGTAAAATATATAATATTCAATTCAAATGATGCTTTAACTAGGCAACTTGACATTTAAGACTTTTCGTACGTTCAACAAAACTTTAGTGTGACTTTCTCCCCAAACAGAACGTTGTTTTCTATACCTTTGAGAAATTAGTTCTGTTTGCTTAGGATGGACAGACTTCAAAGATGGACATAAAAGAGTTAGAACTAAATGACCAAAACAGCCATCAAGGAGATTAAATACTCTCTCATATCAATGCACAAAAGTAACCTAGAATAGTACAAAACAACTTACATTCGTTGCTGGTATCTGTGTTGTCTGATCACCTCAGAGTCATTTATCTCCACCGGCTTGATGAGTGCAGCATGTTCAACGGACCAGAAGCCCTACAAAACAACAGACAAAATATATAATTGTTTGGGGTTTTTTGGTTGAGTTTCAGCAAGTAAAACATGTATTTACTAATGTCCTGTCCTGTTGTGTGTATGTGTGAGTGCACCTAACCTTTGTAACATCCACTGCCATTGTAAACTACGAAGACAAAATTTCTCCCTGTGAGATGAATAAAGATTGTCATTGTATCAGGGATGCCACTCAACTTTTTTAAAAATAGCTGAAAATCCATGCGCCACGGTCTTGCTTACATATATATGAATATCAATTTGAAACCCAAAGGGTGTACATAGAGAGAGAGGAAAGACAAACAAGCCCGGTGTGTGTTTTCTTAACTGGCTGAGATTAGTGCAAATCTTCTGGGGGGTTTTCTTCCCTTTGTTCGAACTTCGAACTTATGGCGAAGTCTTCATTTTTCCGTTATTTGAACATTTGGTGCAAGTTGTTGTGTGTGAGTGTTTCTTTTCTGGTTTTTTTTTCAACTAAAGATTCTATCTCGATCTCAATAACGGAACAGCGGATCAGGATCAAAATACCGGAAGCACCGGAGAAAAGCGGAAAAGTGACATACCTGATTGCATATTTTTTTACGGTACTACTGACTTAATGCGATCATGTAAGTGCCCCATACAGACTTTCCTAACATTGACCTTTCTTATACTGATTAACCCCTTTTTTGCCAGGGGGTGTATATTCCCACCGTCATCAGTTATTTTTACCTAAGCTTGTTAACCAGGACAGCAATCTCATCGGTTTTACTGTCAGTGACCTTGCTGTCTGGTTCTGAAATACTACTCATGACCTTTCGGGCTCTGGGTCTTTGACAGTGACCTTTAACAGTGACACCTTCCTCATCCCCATATTCCCCAATATCCCCATAATTTCAAACAAGATACAAATCGAAGTCAAAAAGTGAAATATGTTGCCTTATGTGAGTCATTTTTGGTGTTTACGTTTTCCGACAGTATGGGCTAGGAAGGAGGGAGAGGGAGAGGGAGAGGGAGAGAGAAAGAGAGAGAGAGAGAGAGAGAGAGAGAGAGAGAGAGAGAGAGAAACTTTAAGCTGTCCCGAAATAGCAAATTTCAACTTAAAAGCACCATGAAAGTCCTAACACACCTCTTTCTCCTTCTTTGCAGAATTTGTCACTTTAAAAAGGTTGGGGCTAAACATCGAGAGATGCATTTGCGTGGGATCCACTTCAAACGGGTTCACAAAATGGCGACCAGGGGTAAAGCCTGGCGATTGACGCATGGGAGTGCCAAAGTGTGACGGCGTCACATCCATTCCGTTCTCCCAGTGACATTGTTGGCCTCGCACAGGGGTCTTCAATATTGCTTGATGTTCTTGGGACAAGGATGAAAGTACTGGAAGCAAAGAAAGAAAAAAAAAAACACAAACAAGTTTTAGCAAAATATGTCGTGTCATGCCTGGTGGAATCAGATGCTCATCAATTTTAGGGCATATGAAATTTTATTGGTATCACAAGGCTCCCCATTACGCACAGATGCGCGTATATTACGCATTAAACCTGCAGATTACCCCCCTTTAAGTTTTGGAGGTGCGTGAACGTTACTCTTTAAAATTTCGTTTCGGGGGTTTGCATACCCTTCAAAACCTAGATGGTGAACGTCTGGCAAGCATCATTTTCCCCCTTCTCTATCCCGAAGCCAAGTCAATGATTTGACAACACACCCACACACATACTCAGCAGTCACCTTTTGTCTCTGTCAGAAGCAGTCGACCTACCCAAGCATGAAGCATATGAAAAGGAAGTGCTCCAGGAGGTTTGTAAGATTTTTACGAGAAAAAAAAAAATCAAAAGTCTGGAAAGACTGGAATGTGAACCCGGGGATGGCTCCGAAGAATATCGAATCAGTTTATTTTCTTTGTGTATTACAGTTGACATTGACCCCTTTTGGCTTGTTAACTTTATTTTATTTTTGATTGGCCCAACCACCACCATCCTTCCCCCCCCCCCCATCTCCAATAATTCTAGTCAATATTACTTATTTATTTCTTTTTGTTACAATGAAACCTTACAGTTAATTAAAAATCATTAGCATTCAATCATAGTCATGGTCACTCTGTGTGTGTCTGTGTGAATATGCATGTGAGTTAAATGTCTACATGCAAATATTTTTACTATAAAATTAGAAGGTAATTGACATTTGAGGAACAGTTTGTCAGACATGAAAAAAAACCCAAGCAAATCAACAACCTGTTAAGTTTCTAAAATTATAAGTGTTTAAGAACCCCTTAAGATAGAAAACCAAAGGGTGAAGGAACCTCTTAAGTTGACCTGAAAGGGGAGCCCTTTTATCATGTTCTAGCTTGCTCATTTGTCTTGCTCTTGATGAAAAAAACCCCCAGTACAACTTAGAAGTTGAGATATCTATGATTGAGGAGATGGTCATTTGGTTTCAGAGGTAAATTGGCTGCCAAAGTTAGATGACTTCTAAAGCTTGAATGTACTTGGAAACTGCAAATTTACATTCTTTTGTACCTTTGATCAACATTTTTCAGTAAAATCCACACAAAAATATGTTTTCAAATGGACATAAAAGTTGCTGAGCAAAAAAAAAAAAGAAGAAATTAATCAATGAATTAAAAAATAAAAATTGCATTAGCAAAGAAAAATGTGAATTTCTTCAATTTTCTTATTTCGATAAGCACCTGGTTATGCCAGGTCACTCATATGTTCTATACCCCGAGGTGCCAAATCACCATTAAAAAACACCCCAAAACAACCCGAACATTGTTGACCATTTGGAAACGTGCGTGCAAGGACTTAACATTTTTTTATGATCAAACAGATTCAAAAGTTTGAATATCTAGGAAATATATATATCCAATGGCTAATATGCCACAGATAAAGAATTGCAATAGTTAAAGGCATTTTCAATGAAATGCATAAAATACTGTACAAATGACAGTCACGCTAGTCACAAGAGAAGGGCAGATAAAGCATTTCAGCACTAACATAACCATAAGCGCCTGCTCTACTCTGGCGTTGACCAGATGACAAGGACATGTGGTTACTTGAGGGAGGCATTGCGCTGCCAAGAGCGAAATGCTCGCAGCTAAAGGGATTTGAAAACAACAACAACCATAAGCAGAAATAAAACAAATAAGCACAGTACAATATTGTAACTCCTAAAAGGTCTGTACTTATAAACAGATAACACACCGTGGTCAGTCCTGGGCGTCAGAAAGGGGGAACCTCCCACTCCCTGGACCTGATGACTAGCGTGGTCCTGCTGCAAGCTGCAGTGAGTTCCATCTGGACAGAGGTGTGCACACAGTCAAATTATAAAAAATATCAAAAGTGATTTTTATCTTAATGTATGTTGTCTACTGTGGTTGAATGTACGTCATTTACTGCGGACCAGTACAAAGAAAGACGAGAAACATAAGGATGATAGTTGCAGCAAAAAAGTAAAAGTAGTGAGAAAATATCATATGGCAGTAATGTCTATGTACCATATGCATGTTTTTTTTATAACAGTACAATGATTTTCCCAAAGTGAAGAAAAAAAAAAAAGCACCCCTGGGGGAGTAACAACAAAAGTGCAAATGAGTACCACTAAACCAAAGCTTAGCTTAAGTATGCAACAAGAAGTATTCCTGGAGATGGATAGAGAGTGTTTACTTTTATCAGAATGTAAAGGAAACTAATTACAGTCGAACCTGCCATGACGGCCACTTTCCATTTCCCCTCTTGCCTTTTTTCTATATAATTTAACTGTGTGAGACGGGCACCTGTCCAACGCGGCCACCTTATTTCAACACATAACCCCTATAACACCAAACAATAACACCTATCTCAGTCCTGCCTAAGATGGCCACCTGTCTTATACGGCCACTTTTCTTCTTGAAAATGGGTGGCCGTCTTACACAGGTTTGACTGTAATATTACACGCAGAACAAGTGCAAAATAAAGGAATTCAAAAGGTTTAAGTTTTCCAATGGGTCTTTCTCAAAAACACAAAGGCAGAAAATAGTATAATAAAATCACCATTAAATAATTAAGAGCAGGCATAGCTTCTTATGAACAAGAAGTGCAGTACATATATTTCCTTACCACTACTGCTGGCCAAAGCGGGAACGTGTGAGCCACTGCTAGGGCTAATGGTCACTGTCTGTATTCCGGATGCTGTTGTGTAGACACGGATCTTTCTCATAGGACTAGATGTTCTAGGGCCAAGATTGTCTGTGGGTTGTGAAATATCAAAACATAAACATAATTTGTAACACCAGAGCCGTGCTGTGAACGTTGAATAACAATTTATAATAAAGATGGGAATTCATAGCACCTAATTCCAGAAGGCTCTTAGCACTGTACACAGGGATGCCAAATGATTTTTGAAAAAAACCCTGAAAATGAGCGGAGCGTCACATCTCACCCAAAACGAACCTTGTAAAATCTTTAAATGAGCAAACAAAAACATTTCTCTTACCATTCCCCTTTCCTTTGCAAGTGTATGAAAAAACCGGAGATTTGGCATCCCTGCATACAAGGCAAAATTATTACTCAATTGTATTGATCTATCAAAGGAACAAAATACAAATTGTGAGACCATTTAACAACACACACACACTGCTCCCAGTCTCACATACAAAATTTGCAGGCAGAGAAATAAAGTAATTTAACAGGTTTCAAAACCTGCACTAGACAGAGACAGGAAACATGGGGAAAGACATGGAAAGAGAGAAAGAAGTGAATACAGTGAGCTATGAAACAGTGCAAAGCCAGCAAAATTTATTTTGAGAGATGATGAAAACCAAAGAAAGAAAGCCAAAGTTAAATTTAAAACTCAAAATCAACACTCTTCAAAACTGGTATGAATAGACAGGTATCTTTGAAATAGTTCGCTAGAAAAGCAAGAGGGCACTCACTATGTTTTCTTAAGGTAATAGGCCATAAATCAGTATCCCACTGATCGTGTAAAAAGAGGAAGGACAACCCCCCAAGACAAGTAAACATACCCTCCAATGAATTAAAAGTTCTTTGGGTGAGCAGTTGATGTCTCATGTCTCCTGACCGTGCATCACCAAACTTGAACGGGCTAGAATGGTCACCCCGAGGACTGCCACTCCCGGAAGCTGCCTGTTGTTTTGAAGGAGACTCCTTGGTTCCATCATCTGATGTCACCCCAAAAACTTGTGAATCTTGGGAGGTAGGCTGCAAGGGATCACGACTTGTGTCATCAATACAGGTACCAGCATCATCTTTACTTGAGTGGTGAAAAGGGTCACTGGTGAAATTTGTATTTCCTGCTCCATTACTTACAGCATCTGTGCCAAGATCAGACTCTGTAAACTGGGGAGTTGGGAGTGAGTAAGCTTTGAAAGGTAAATTACACTGCTTGTTTCTCAATTCTTTCACTGGCGATGGGCTGAAGTCACTACTTGTGAGTGTCATGCTACAAGAACCTTCCTTCTCATCATCTTCCTCCATTTTTTAACTTGCTTGTGGCCGAAAACACAACCTATTGAAAATGAAGCAATAAAGAGACAGTTGAAAAATAATTATGTTAGAACTATGTGTATGATTCTGCTAAAGGCTATTATCCAATGTTAACAAAAAAGTATGCATGCACTGGTCAGCAACCTCCTGGTTCCATATGGTTACCAAATCAATGTCTTTCTTTGTTTAAAAAAAAAAAATCCCATTTCTCTTCAATATAATACATTTTTGATGAATTGGGTCAAGAAGCAGAAAACTTTATTTTAAACAGAAAGGTAGTCTCTATTACAAACAAATCAAACAGCATTCTAACGACAATTAATAAAATAAAAGTGGAGGCCTAATTCAAATGATAATCAAATGTTCTAGAGTTAAATATTGGTGAATAACAAGCACAAGATGAAGTGCTGAAAGGTCCACCACTTTGGAAATAGTATCTTTGAAATATATTTTTTTAAATGGTATATACATGCATACATACAAAAGAGGATTTATCGTGAAAATAAGGTCAGATCAAATAGAGGTGAGACATGTAACATTATATTATAAATTGAGGTTTGCTTTTATAATGTAATTTTTTAAATGCTATCACTAACAAAATACAAGGATTATTCAACTGACTCATTCTTAAATGTCAGACAGACCCTCTACCTTACAATCATCTAGCACTTGTTCGCTCAGGTTTGTCTATAAACCTTACTATACCTTGAAGAACTGCATTAATTTGGAGCTCTGCCCTGACCAGCAATTTCAATGCAATCCAGACTTGAACCCTTGAAAAAAAAAAAGATTGATTTTATAATGATATGAAAGATCAGGCTCAAAAGCACAAAATAAAAGTATCCCAAAGGGAAAGTCAAAGTGTAAGTATATTAATGTATATACAATTTAGATGATCTACCCTGCGGCATGTTAGAAGATTAGAGAGGTAGGTTAGAGTAAGGGTTAGTTACACACTTCCTTACCCTCATAAAAACTGAAACCTAAATCCAGCAAATATTATATATTTACATGCATGAATAAAATTTTAATGAGCACATTTGGATGACTGAAAAGCCAACGGTAGAAAATATCAAGTAGTCTATATTGACAACATTTATTGACCGACAGTTAACCTCCACTAAATACATACTAGACCAACATGAACTAATTTTGAAAATACCATCTGATTCTGATGTTATGATCTTATTCTGTAATCAAGGATGAAATGAATTCTGGCCATTATAATTTATTGGCCGGCTCTATTTCTCAGAACCCTTGTGAAAACAAACTTGAACTCTCCGAGCGGTTCCCGCTCTTGAGATTTTTAGGTCATTTGCGAATGGATGGAGCGGCCCATGCGTGAGTGTGTGTGAGCGTGTGTAAGGTGTGAATGGGGATGGGGGGCATGGAGGGATATTTTTTGGTGTGATTTAGTTTTTGACTTAAAGGGGTGACTAAATGCAAAATAGGTAAACTGCAAAAGTCGAGCAGTCTTGTTTTCTCGCAGTATCTTTTGAAGGCATTTTCAAATGTAGTACAATGTATAGTCCGGAACGTCGTCCACTACAACAATTAAGCATTCGAATATTCAAACAACTAAAATTTTCCAGCTCTAGAATTGGAATTCGATCCAAAAAAAAAAGAAAAAAAAAGCTTCTCCAGTCTTCTGACACAGGACCACAGTCTGTCCGGACAAGAGTGGGTATAGTGCCAATGCCAGTGAAATAATTTTACAGAGAAAGCAATATGAATATGAAACTGATACCACTGAACTCGTCACATACTTCCAGTTATCTCATCACATAGGTTGGGGCAAATACGGCCATGGGGCAACTTCAATGCCGCTTCAACCGAGTGACGCGGTGGCAATTGACAAAAATTGACTTTTAGTCAATTGCCACCGAGTAAAGAGGAGCTCTTTTGCGTTGGTTGGTAGATCTAGCTTATTGTGCTCGGTGTTGTGCGTTCGCCTCTCTGTCCCTCTGTGTGTGTGTGTGTCTTTTCCTGACCCCCGTCCCCCGATATAACGTGAATTTCTGTTTGAGTTTATGTGCGTTTGTGATCTACTTTTAGAATTCTAGAATTGCCTGTGTTGGTTCTACACCAAAGTGTAGGCTAAGGCTAGTCTAGATCTAGGTCTACGTCTCATTGAAAACACGCCAAGTTGGTACCGTAGCTCTAGACTAGATCTAGATATCTGGAGATGCTTGTCCAATGAAATTAGATCTAGACTAGATTTCTAGATCTAGATTTAGATCTAGTTGAGAACAAATTGACCCATTTAGACACACATTAATTAATTATGTTATATATGCTAAAGATAGTGTTGTTTTCAGACTTGACACCGCTTCACTCTGTGGCAATTGACAAAAAGTCAATTTTTGTCAATTGCCACCGCGTCTAGATATATAGTCTAGATCTAGATCTAGATTCTAGATCTAGAATCTAGATCTATATCTAGAATTCTAGATCTTAGACTAGCCTATGACCATGCCATGAATGATCTTTCAGAGTCTTGAGAGATCAAAAGTAGGTCTAGACTCTAGATCTAGATCTAGATCTAGATCTAGATATCTAGAGACGTAATGGCAGTCACAAGACGATAGGATAAAAATATAATAAGTTCGGGCCTGATAAGTGAAAAATCGAAGTGTAGCAGCGAGTCCAGCCCACCGACCAGATCTTGTTGTCTTGTAGAATCTACAGTCTACACTCATCGACATCAGCACTGAAAAACTATACACACCTCGGATTCGAAGCACACTTTATCGTATAAATTAAGCAATGCAAGCGCTCATGTACAGGCCATTAAACATCAGTTATGGTAAATAAAAAGCAAATTCATGTAAATGAAAAATAACGCATTCATTCGGGTCAACAGGCTAGCCTAGATCTAGATAGAACTACCTCTGTGTTTATGTTGTTTGTTATGCTTTCAAAAGATGTGTTTGAACTTGTTCCTCTTGGCGCTTGTTCCGATTCCACTTTTACAGCAACAGAATAAAAACTTCCTGTTAGGTTGCCGATTTGCCATGCAAAAAAGAATTGATTATGATTTAAGAATGAACAATTTCGTAGGAGAACTATCATAGTTTTTCTCAAATACTGTTTCGTCAACAAACAAAACACTGATTGAAACGTTAAAGATAATGCAAAAGGTGCGCTTTGTCTTTTTTTGTTTGTTTGAATAAATAGTTTCGGCCACTATGTAATCCCTAGAGTGCTTAAACTCTTCCTGGCCTAGAATGTAAAAACCACTTCCTGTTTCATTTTCAATTTCATCGCAGTCAAGGAGATTAAAAGTAGTTCTAAACTCCTTGATCGCAGTCTATATATTTTGTCAAGTTCAAGTACTCTGTAGTCTTCTTTCCTACCAACTTCACAGAGTTAAACATTTTATTCCGTAGTGAAAACGATGGGATCTACCTCAAAATCAAAGTCTCCAGCTGCTGCTGAAACGATGGAAAGTATGTTGACTTGTTTTGTCTACTTTTCAGAGTGTCTCGACACGTAGGGCCTACACCGTAACCGGGCACCTAGTCTTGATAGTCTACTATCTCATGTACACGGTAACCAGGCACCCAGTCTCACTTCTAGTCTCAGTATCTACGTACATGGTAACCGGGCACCTAGATCTAGTCTCAGTATCTAGATCTAGATCTACGTACACGGTAACCGGAATGAAAATAAATCAATATTTGTCCTGTGCTGTCACTTGCTGAAAAAAAAAAGACTCCAGAATGGGGGGATTATTGAATCGAAGTGGCTAGCCGTACTTAAGTCGAATGAGGCGTATCAATGAGGCGGCGGGCATCGGATCGGCACATAAAGTGTGGGGGAAACTAAAAAATGGCGGAAAATTGGAAGCACTGAACGTTAGATCTATAGAACGATGACACTTCCTTTTTTCCAGACCGTGTCCAAATAACATTTTTTCATATTCGGACTCGAGTCCAAATATGAAAAAATGTCATTCGGACTCGAGTCCGAATAATGACGGCCTTTTTAAATGGGAGTGTATACGGACCCGGTAACCGGGAACAAAGTCACAAAGTATACAGACCCGGTAGGGGAACTCTTTTGTGATTTCGGAGAGTTTCAGCGCCCTCTTGGCTCAGGGTAGACCTAGGTTCTTCTAAATCTATGGTCTAGATCTAGATCTAAGTAGACAGACTTAAATCTTTCCTCTAGTTTCGCGGCTAACCTAGATTCCTAGATATCTAGATCTAAATGAAGATTGCGGATGTCTTTTCGATTAACGATGGTTTTTCCTCCGTTTTGGAGTTGGAGGAATCACAATTTGAAGAAAAGAACAAGTTACAATGTCATAATTTCAATCGAGCAGTCTCCCCCCCCCCCCCTCTCTCTCTCTCTCTCTCTCTCTCTCTCTCTCTCTCTCTCTCTCTCTCTCTCTCTCTCTCTCTCTCTCTCCGCTGTGTGTACCGCTCGCCTTCTCTTTTTCTTTGTTTGTCTCTGTATTTCTTTGTCCCCACCTATTTCCCACTCTATCTTTCTCTCGTTCCTTCCTGCCAACTGGGGCATGTCATTTACATTTTGCTAGCACCCCTCTCTCTCTCTCTCTCTCTCTCTCTCTCTCTCTCTCTCTCTCTCTCTCTCTCTCTCTCTCTCTCTCTCTCTCTCTCTCTCTCTCTCTCTCTCTCTCACACACACACACACACAAAAGATTTCTACCGGGTCCACAGAATTCTACACTTAGAAGTGTAGAATTCTGTGACCGGGTCTGAGGTCTGAAACTTCCCGAAATCACAAAAGAGTTCCCCTACCGGGTCTGTATACTTCGTGACTTTGTTCCCGGTTACCGGGTCTGTATACACTTCGTTTTTAAATACAGCCGGGGAGGGGTTGGGATGAAAGCAACACCGGATGACAAAAACTGAACTTGGAGTTCTGGACTGCGCGGTTTCCGGTTACCATGTACTTAGATTTTGATTGAGGCTACATGCCCGTTTACCGTGTACGTGACACTGAGACTACGTGCCCGGTTGCCGGGTACTGTGTGCGTAGATACTTCAAGGCTAGGTGCCCGGTTACCGTGTACGTAGACACTCCGTTTACTTTACTTTTAGCACGATTTTAATCTGTCTCTAGATCTAGATCTAGATCCTAGAGGTGTACTACACAAACCATATCAATGGCCCATGAAACTGAAACTGTTGTGAAGGTTAAAAACTAGGCTAATAGAATCCTTTGGATGGTGATACACAGTATTGAAGATTTATTAGGACTATTATTTAATTAGTCTAATAAATTAGTTTAGGGTTTGGAAGTGCCTGTTTGCTGCAACGAAGTGTATACAGACCCGGTAACCGGGAACAAAGTCACAAAGTATACAGACCCGGTAGGGGAACTCTTTGTGATTTCGGAGGGTTTCAGCGCCCAGACCCGGTAATGTGTGTGTGTGTGTCTGTGTGAGTTAGAGAGAGAGAGAGAGAGAGCGCAGGGGGAAGTGCTAGCAAAATGTATATAATATCATCATGACATGTCTGCCAGTTGGCAGGAAGGAACGAAAGATAGAGACAAACAAAGAAAAAAAGAATGCGAGCGATACAGAGAGAGAGAGAGAAAGAGAGAGACTGCTCGATTGAAATTATGACATTGTTCTTTTCTTCAAATTGTGATTCCTCCAACTCCAAAACAGGGGAAAAACGATCGCTCATCGAAAAGACATCCGCAATCTTCATTTAGTTTTAGATCTAGAATCTACAGTCTAGATCTAGGCTAGCCTCGAAACTAGATCAATGATTTATATCTGTCTGTCTAGATCTAGACCTAGGCCATAGATCTAGAAGAACCTAGTTCTACCCTGAGCCAAGAGGGTGCCGAAAGTTTCCGAAATCACAAAAGAGTTCCCCTACCGGGTCTGTATACTTTGTGACTTTATTCCCGGTTACCGGGTCTGTATACACTCCCTTGCTGCAATGCGATTAGCGCCAGTGCTAAAAATATAACAAAGTGGCAAGTGCGGCTAGCTTGAGAGTCTAGCCGTACTTAGATCTAGGTTTGGCCCTATCGACTCGAACCTGTGAGTACACAGGTCTCATTAGATCTAGATCTAGATCTAGTAGTTATTCAGGTCTAAATAATGCAAGTCAGTAAGGCACCTTTTGGTTTTGTCTTGGAATACAAACTTTAGGCTTTGCAAACTAAAAATTTCATTTACAATTCAGCCATCAAGTACGGCTAGCCTGATATATAGTCTAGCCGTACTTAAGTACTGCTAGCCTAGCCGTCTAAGTACGGCTAGCCAAGAAGTCTAGCCATACTTATCTGAGGCACTATTAACATTAGAAAACAGGAGGTTTAAAATACATACACTGTCATTAAGGCACCTGGTTTCGTCTCAGATACAAATACTTTAGGTACTGCAAACTAAAAATGTAATGTACAATTCAGTAGGCCTTTTTTATGGTCAGTCTAGCCGTCATATTAAGAATAAGTACGGCTAGCCCAGCTGTGTAGCCATACTTAAGTACAGCTAGCCATCCAGTCTAGGTACGGCTAGCCTAGCACTCTAGCCGTCATTAAGTACGGCTAGCCTCTAAAATAAAATGCTGCTTTGTGATTAGCGCCACAGTGCAAAATAAAAGGCGTCGTAAATAAAATGCCGTGGGTTAAATATTTATAAGGCTTGTCTACGCTCAGTTGTTGGAATTTTTTATGGCCGAATGGACAGCGCGTCTGGGTTTGAAGACAAACCATTATTTTATGAGCTTATGCCGTGGGTACGATTCCCGGTCCTGGAAGTTTTTTTTCATATTATATATATATATTTTTAAAAAATTAAAATTTACTTCTCCTCTTCCCGACTGACCAACAATTTTTTCCCATCTAGAGTCTATAACTTGTTGCTTTGTAGTTTTTTATGTTTTCCTAATGATGAAGCATGCACATTCTGGTTTTGTTCGTAAGAGAAGCTTTTACCTACAAAGTAGGTGTCTATACTTATCCTTTTACCAATTTAGGCCTGGTTGAAGTTCAATAGTGGCTTTCCTTGGTATGTGGGTCTAATTATTTTTTTTAAAAAAATTTTAGGCTCTGGAGAAGGAAAAAAAAACCTTCCGGGACTGGGATTCGATGCCATGCTTGGAAGCACTGAACATTAGAGATTAGAGAATCTAGGCCTAACGTTAGAGAATGTGGTCACAACCCCCTGCTAATTTTACAATAATATTAATAATGGATCGCATTTATATAGCGCATGATATCCACTTATGCAATGCTCTATATTCGCACATGATACATATTATGGATTTACAAATCAATTTTGGATTTAAAGGCGTGTTACATACGCGTGCACACACATACGCATGCACACACCACACACACATACATACACACATACGTACATACAGCTTGGATGGATTCTGTTTAATCGAAATATGATGAAAATAGAAATGCTTTTAGTTTTTTCTTAAAGATTACTAGATTTTCTGCTTCTCTGATAGTTTTTGGAAGCCTATTCCAAACAAGTGGGACAAAACATGAAAAAGAGCGTTGGCCATATGATTTGTAATTTATTATAGGTTTAACAAGGGTTGGTTTGTCACTTGAAGATCTGAGCGTTCTAGGAGGTACATGGTTTTAGATAGTCAGGTGATAAATCATGTAAGCACTTAGCAAGTTAAACAGATTATAATAAATATATGCGCTCTTTCTCCGTGAGCCAGTGTAGTTCTTTTAAAATAGGAGTCACATAATCATGCTTTAGTTTCTTAGTAATTATTTTGGCAGCAATATTTTGTACTCTTTGTAGTTGTTGTAACTTAAGTAACTGTTCGTCAGGTACACCAGCCAGTACGGAATTGCAATAATCAATCCGTGACAATATAAAAGTGATGTTATTAAAGTTTTGGTGACACCAACAGATAGATATTTTCTAATGCTCCCTATTTTCTTCTGTTGGAGATATATATATATTTTTACAAAGATTGGATACATGGGATTTCATTGACATACATAAATATCTTCATCTAACACTACTCCTACAAGGCCATTGATGTTTATTCTGATATTGTCGATTTCATTGCATGCGCTGCTACACGAAGAAATAATATTTCGATCTTATCCTCATTTAGGGGGCTCTCGTGGTCTAGAGGTTAAAGTGTTGGCCTCTCATTCAAAAGGTCCCGGGTTCGAATCCGGGTAGCGACCGAAAAATTTTCTTCTCTAAATTTGTCTCCTTTCACCTCATTTCCTGCTCTCTGGCAATGTTCTGTCGTCTGCTTTCGTCTCCTCTTTCTTCTATGAAATTGTGTACATTGTCAGTTGTAGTGAATCCATACAGCTGTGTATCGTCTGCATAAAGATGGTAATTTAGGGCATATTTAAAGAAATTATTGATGACAGACTTTGCATGTGCATTGTAAAGGTGACAGGACCAAGGACCGAACCCTGAGGAACTCCATACTTTAGAGGTAACCTATCTGACACATCATTGCCAATTTTCACTGACATTTTTAAAATCTATTTTCTAGATATGATTTAAACCACATTAGAACAGTACCTGATAGTAAAAATGACTTTTCCAATCTCTCTAGTAAAATTTCGTGGTTGATGGTATCGAACGCCGCTGACAAATCAAGTTGAACCAAAACACAGACTTTTTTATTATCGATTTCATTTAAAACATCTGATGATACCTTTAAAAGAGCGGTTTCCGTACTGTGGTGCCTTTTATAAGCAGATAGAAAAAGTTCTTCCATGTCATTGGCCTTTAAATGTTGTTGAACTTGACACAAAACGATTTTCTCCTGGTTTTTTAATAAAAAGTTTAGATTGGAAACTGGCCTAAAATTTCTCTTGTCGTTTTCATCAAGACCTTGCTTTTTAAGTAAAGGTTTTACAATGGCTTGTTTGAAAAGATCAGGTACGTTCCCAGTGGTGATTGACAAATTAATAAAACGAGTTACATGGTGCGAGATCTTCAATGCACGTAACTAACAATTACAATGAAGTGGGTATTTGGTCTAAGTTGCATGTTTTAGCCGGGGACTCTTTGATATACTTAATGACATCTTTCTCTGATACCACTTTAAATTCATTCAATGTTGATTTGTTCATAATTGCAAGATTTTCATCAACAACTATATTTGTATTTACATCTAACATATCAGAGTCTAAATCAGTTTTTATTCTTTCAATGTTATCATTGAAAAATTGTGGAAAATTACAACAAAGTTCTTTGTCAGTTCCAGGTGGAAACCATGTACAATTCTCCCTTCCCAATAATTGATCAGATAATCGAAAAAGTTCCTTGCAGGAGTTTACTTTTTAAAATTTGTTAAAATAGAATTGTTTCTTGTTGTTTTCAATCAGGGTGTTGACGTTGTTTCGTTCAGTCACCAAAATCTGTTTGTGGACGTGGAGGCCTGTCTTTCTAAGCTGTCTCTCTGCTTTCCTTTGTTGTTTTTTGGCCTCTTTGATCTCGAGAGTAAACCGTGAAGATTTAACGCCGAAGCCTAGAAATCTTGATCATGTGTGATGGTAAAATATAGTGCACGCAGAGATAGATCTAATTATTATTTTTAGGTGTTGTATGACGACACTGTGAACTGGAAATAGTACTTAGACCGAGTTGCACCGTCTTGTTATTGTATATATAGCGTCTTTTGACTTACTTGCTCAAACTCAAATGAATATGAGAGATGAACAATCTAAGACTACTTTTGTGCTGACAATTGTTAGATCTAGATCTACCCAATGTTTATCTGAATAAAGACAACGTCATAAAAAAGGAGTCAAATCCTAGAAGGTTTATCAAGAAACTGAGAAAGCTTCCACATTTCAGGCAGAACTCTACAATATTATTGTGTTAGAAACGATGGCTACTAGATCTAGTACTGGCGTTTCAAATAGCATGGGAGCTATTCAGATCCCTGCGTTTCAAATAGCACGAGAGCTATTCAGAACGCGGCGTTGCAAACAGCACTTGCCTTCGGGTTTCTAACTAAAAGTGATAAAATGCAATATCAAAGGTGTCATATGAAGGTAGGTTACCTCCAGTAATTCAAAGAAATTCTGAAAGTTATTATGCATTTGTACCTAATATGTGTCGCTGCCGGTCAATATCAGTCATATGAATGAAGGAAATTTCTTGCTATATTATTTTTTAAAACTATCACCTTTACCCTACAATTTAAAGCAAGAATGAAGTAATATGACCATATTTGAAGAAAATACAGAACTGTTAATTAATTGTGCGAAGTGAGGAAACACGAAAGGGAGAAAATGGCCTCCGAAGTTGAGCAACATGTTTCCATAGCAATGGGGGTCTTAGAATTGAGATTCAGGCATGGAATTTAGCAGTTATCTTGGCTATGTCATGGTGACATACACAGCAGTAGAAAATTATTCATTCCCAGAGAAAAAATTTATGGACAAAACAGAATTTTCCCGAGAATGGACTTCACGTCAAATGCAACAAAATATTAGCATTATAACTAGGTACCAGATACTAAACTTTGAAAGTACCTGTATGTTAAATTTATCTGTTTCATATGAAAGGCCTATAGATGTCTCCTGAGAATTTTGGTACCATACTTTTACCTCTCAGTCAATGTTTAAGAGAATGGCAGTTGTTTCAATTTAACATAATAATCAAATATCGCTGAAGTCGCGAACTGGCTGCATCCCCATGTTTGACAGATAATAAAAGAGTACCAAGTGCACCAAACATCTCTACATTAACAGAGTACAATCATTATAACAAAGAAATAAAGCCTAATTTTTTCATGACTGTGAGATAATTACACTTCAGTATTTTATTGCCTCAAACAGGATGATCTGTCGTTATTTCGATAAAAACAGCGAGCGTTGTCTTGGCTGCCGTCGCACCAGCCCCCATGGCAAAACGGCTCAATACTGTAGGGTCCTGAGTGCTCCCAGTAGTTTCACGGAAGGATTCATGTTAAATAATCCAAGCCGATGACTTTATTCTTGTAAAGAAAAGAAATGTATTTTTTTAGGGTGGTATTTTACACATTTTGTGTTAAAAATGATCGTTGAAAACTTAGACGCTTTTTTTTTCAAGGTTTTTCTATCCAAACGCCAAAGGCAAAAAATAATAACCACGGGAAACCACGCTCAAAGCTGTATAGTTCTCCGCTAATGAAAAGACTGTATTTAATCATCAATCTTTCTGCAAAGCATTCAAGTGCATGGGTGTCAATTTTGAACCCGCCAACCTCGCATTCCGACTGCGAGAGGCTTCCCTTTCCATGGCGATTCTCCAGATCCAAATACTCTGATAATACTAACAACTAACACTATTGTAACAAAGAAAATCTGAACTTTTTCAGAGTGTTCAGCATTTGGTGTTTTATAACAAAAAAGCAAAGAAACAGAGATCATCTGAATAACCCCCATTTTACCGAAACCACGCACTCGGAAGGTCGCGAGTCGGCTCACGCGCCGTATTTACGCTACCAAATTATACGTGTTTGCAATTGCACCTTAAACACACAAGCGGGCACACACACAGACACACCAACACACATACACACACATGCACATAGACCGTCACGCTGGCCTCTTGGTACAATGTAAAGAGTCCGCTTTGAGAGATCTAGAGGAAGGTTAATTAATCTTTTAAAAGCACTAAAACGCAATAAAAACGAATTTGCAATAATTTGAAATTTTCTTGAAAATAAAATTGATTTGCGAAGGTTTTAGTTTTAGTGGCCATGTCATGTGTGATGTGGGTAAACTTTTTCTGTCACTTCTGCACACAGATGCACTGCTTTGATATATAGCCACTAAAACTGTTGCAAGTCAATTATTTTAAAGAAAATTTCAAACCTGACGCCAAAATATCAAATTATGGGTTAAAACAAGATTGATTGAGGTCTCTTTTATCTCCCTGAAGTTATGGCCTAGTAGTCTCCGCCTAAGATCCCACTGCTGACTTTTCTCGTTCGCTTTTAGACTTCTCATTGCTTTAAGAAAAATATTAATTTATAATTTTTATTACAAACAAAACTCACTCCTAAGATCCCACTTTGAAGGTCTACATTTGGCCAAGATCTGGCATTTCAGATCATAGTTTACTTTACAAAAATGTGGGTGAGCACAGCTGATCAACCTAGCAGTGAAAATTAGCCTTCACTGTACTGCCCAGTGCATCACAGTTCATCCACTCCTATAAATGAGTGGATGTGATCACATCTCCATTGTAAATCTCGATGAGGAGGTACAATTACAATGTTTGGCACAGATGGGATCATACTAAGGTGTGAACTCGTCGACGTGATTGTTTTACCCACACATTGCACTCGCATTTGAGCCCTCTGCCTGTACTTACATCACACGCTGGGTGGATAGGGCCTGCAAGGCCACATGAGACAGGATCACATTAACTGCAAACGCTTCAATTTTTTTGTTACCCTGACTATCACACTTATCCTTTCTGCTCTGCGCCCAAATTTGCTAGACAGACTGGATTTTTAATTGGTGGGGTCTCATAACTATGGTGCACTACGGCTTGAGTGGGGAAATCTCAGTCAGAGATGAAAAGCTATTTATATTTTTTATAGGTGAAGGGAAAGAGCAATGGAATTGACATGTGAATTCTGAGGCTCACAATTTGATGAATATTTTCATTAGAATAATGTGAAAATGAAATATGTTTCATCCTATCCTCCCAACTTTGCCTTTGGAATGTACTCCTTAGGTTTTGAATCCAAGAGGACATGAGAGATTCCTAAGACAGAGCTGTATAAAACGTTAAAGTTAAAGTGTTTTAATTAAAGTAAGGTCCGATGGTGCTCATGGATTAATGAGTTCATAAAATGTACAGACTTGCTTTAAAATGGTTTGTCTTTTCGTGTTCTCTGCCCTTTCAAAATATGGCTGTTGGCCACATGTTTTATTTTGCTGCTGTGTGCTGATTTGTTTTACACATGTTTTCTTTCTCTAGTCTTGATGGAGATTTCCCAGCTATTGAACACTGGGTTGGATGAAGAGACGATGGCGTTGTGCTTGCGACTGTGTGAGAATGGTGTCAACCCACAGGCCCTGGCGCAGGTCATCAGAGAGCTGAGGAGAGAATCTGCCGATATTCGGGTACTCCACAGAAAAGATTAATCTTCATTGCCCCAACATTTGCACGTTTGGTGTTTCCGCACACACATCCACACACATATATGAGCAATTGCCAAAACGTGAGACTCTCTTGAGACTCAGTGGTGCAAAAAAAATGTTCTTACCAATTTCACTCACTTTTCTGTCAGTCACAGATTTAGTGCTCATATTCCTAGAGTATCAGAGCAAGGAGATGTAGGGTTTTGGAGATATGGGTCTGGTGGTTTGGCAACCACTGTATTTCTTGTATGTAACAATGATGACAAAAACAGATAAGCAGCAAGGCAAATTGTGGACTTTAAATTCCATTTGTTTAGCAAACAAAGACTTTGTACACTATGAACTCCATTCATAATGGTAATATAAATGACAAGCTTTGTAACAATGACGCAGTGCACAGAACATGTCATCATTATTATGTACAAGAAAGGACACACATTGGACATTATCATTGACAACACATCACATTAGTGAAAGGCTGTACAAATACAGTTATCAAAGCCTCAGTACCAGAAAAACACACGTGTAAAACAATTTTTAAACTAATATGAGGCAAAAGCACAAAATCAATGGAGCTGACTTGTACATAACAGTGATAACAAACATGACTTGTACATAACAATGATGACACAATGTACAGGAAAAGACAAAGTCATGCTTCCAGAGAGAAATGCACACTCTAAGAATTAAAAAAACAACCAGAAGAGGTTTCTTTGCTTTGAAACAGATATCAGGTCACATCAAAGACAGTGGACGATCACAATTATATTGCTAATTTTACAAACAGTATTCGTACATAACAGTGATGACAAAACATACTGGGAAAAGGTAAAATCATGCCTACAAAGAACAAATTTGCACTATGGGATACACAGATCAATAAAGGTGTATTTTGCTTCTAAATGAATCTTGCCTTGCATGTATGAAATATATGTTGAAAACTTATTGATATTAGCAATGACGACAAATATTACTTGTACGTAACATTGATGACACAATGTATTGGAAAAAGGCATATACCAACAAAGAACAAATGTGTATTTTTGAGTTAGACGATAAACAAGAACATTGTTTGTTTGAGTGAAGAGAGCACACATAATTTTAAAAATGTTTGCTCTAGGACAATGTAATTTCTAGTACGTCTGTCAGTCTTGTACGGCTGCATGACGACACACCAAACGTCATCACTAAGCTCAAAAGCTAAATCTATAACCACAGAAATGACCCATCTCTCGAAGTTTGTTCACACATCGCACTCTTGTTCCAGGAATCCAGTGTAAACACCGCAATTTCACTAAAATATTCAACAAAGTAGCCTAAAAACAAGCAAAACAGTCCTGTACGTCACATTCAACGTAAGATTCTTGTGCGTCACCGGACGCTGACAGCAATGACTACTTTTGGTTTTTTTCTTTACCCTGTTGCTTCCGCTGTTCTGGGGAAGCGGGGAAGGGGAAGTCACTCGAGAAAACAATTATATCCGGGCACTGTTGATGACCCGTTCAAAACAAAAGCGGGCTGAAATTCGGACTTCCGGCACGTCGCAAGGTGACGACAATCACTGCGAATGTTAAACAGCCGACCAAAATTGTAGATCTAGGAACCCGATGTTCCTTTTGCGCATCGCGGCTTTTGAAGTATTGAATAAACGACGAAAAGCAAAAAGATTTAACCAGCTACGGTGATTCTACTGAAAAATAATGGTGTTTTCTGAAACACCTATTCCATGACGACACGACTGACGCACAAGTGATCCAAATTGTTTGTTTATTTGCAAAAAAATAAACTGATTTCTTGAGCGAGTTAACCTTTCTCGATGACAAATAGCATAGGATCAAAGCACACGTTTAAAAAAAACCTCACAAAAATATTCAATTTTGGACATTCTTGAAAGTTTGCATTGGTGTGCTCAAAATGACAGTCCAGGAATCACTAAAAAACGAACATTTTTAGCACAAAATTTACAAACTCAATATTGTAAAGCTGACTTGGGGTCTGAAACTGCTAATGCAGGTTCTACATCCTATATTTGACATGTGTATAAGTTTTGGAGGAATAAATACTAATGCATCACATTTTATGCACACTAATGTGAGATGTGTGTGTTTTTCCCCCGCGTTTTGGCAATGGCTCATATTCACACACACACATCCACACACATATTCACACACATATACACTCTCTCTCTCTCACACACACACATGCGCGCGCACGCACACACACACACACACACACACACACACACACACACACACACACACACACACACACACACACACACTGTATGCACACATGTATAAATACACATATTATATACTCTCTCTTAACTCTTCCACATGCATACATACATTTACAAATGTATGTACACATTCACACATAATATGCTCACAAACTCACAAATAGACCCACGGTCACACATATATATATATATATATCTCTATATGACATAAATGATTTTTTTTACAATAATAATACGTAAGCTAGACGTAATCAGTATTTTAATAGTATGAGGAAAGAGTCTGCTGATATTCTTGGGTTTAAAACGATTTTCAAGATAAATATCCTAAATTCTTTCTTTTTTTTAAGTTTAGGGGTCAGTTGATATCTTCCAGAAACAATGCTTCGCTTTCACTTTCAACTTGTGTTTGTTGCAGAGAGTGACAATGTGTTATATTTCATTTTAAAGTAAAAAGAAACAAAAGAAAACTGTTCTATTTTCGTGTCATAATCTTTTAAAAATTTTGTCCGTTAATGTTGACTTTTTGCAGATGATGAGTTGGAGTCACTGGTAAGTCCCATTCTTTATCAAGTTGTCCTTTATTATGTCTGTTAATTTGTCTGTCTTCTCTTAGTCTTATTCATATTCCAGAACTAAAGAAATGTATGTCAATGCTAAGAAACTTTTTGTCAATGATTTCTCCGACCAACATGTCAAATTTATATAATGAAATTCTTCATGTTTCAGGCGGAGTCCTCTGGTGGTGGAGATGGATTATCTGCCCGGGAAGCGTGAACTGGAGCACTTCTGTTTTGTTAGCCCACCTTAACCTATGAGTGTTTGTGATGTGTTAGGAAATGAGCGTGTGTACAAGTGTATCCAAGTGATTATGAAGGGGGTTGGAGTGGTGTGTGGTGGTGGACTTGCTGGGAAAGAGAATTTGCTGCGCGTGCTTTAAGTTTTATTGGTGATGTGCATAATGTTGTTACTGTGAAATATTTGTAGACTTACTTGTTCTTGTTTATGATACATGTATGTAGGCTTTGTTTTGCACTCTGAATAACAGGCCTGTTATGAATCTCCCTCTTCTTCCTCTCTTGAGAAAGCTGTGACTCCCTTTGAAAAGAAAAGCGTAGCTGCCAACCAGTATGTAACAGCATGTATTTAATACAATTTTTTTTGAGGATCTGAGTTCGGAAATGTTTTTGTATCAGGAAAATACATATTCCCTGTTTTCTAGTAGTGCTATAATTCCTTATGGATTTGCTGATGCTGAAAAAAAATTCTGAAATGTCAAGACGAGATTTGTGAATGGTAATGAGAACAAAGCTCATTAGTGAGCTGGAAATATCTTTAACTCACCGAGCACAGCTGCCGCACCATATGCAATCCGCTAAAATTTGCGTCGCGCACCGCGACCGTAGCCTATGCGGGTTCAACTGTAATTGACTACAGTGGAATCCTGTTATAACGAGAGGGAGGGGACCGGAGCAAAATGTCCGTTATAGCAGGATCCTCGCTATAAGGGATCCAGTAGTAAATTCAAGGGAAAAATGTAAAGTAGGCCTAATCTATGAGTTTGGTGTTCTTTTTTTCCTTTTGCTATCTCCCCTGATGATGATTTTGTTTCAACATGACCTCTAGGCTAGGTCTTACTTGATCAAAAATCGAATTAGGTTTGTTTCTCTAGCGCTAGATCTAGTGATGTGGACTGACAGCTCGGCGTTGGCGATCAGAAAGAAAGGGCTCTAGGCTAACTCACCCACTGTGTTTTCCCCCACCCCACCCCACCCTGTGGTGCATTCCGTTTGCTTGCGCACGTCACACATTTGCTCCATCCATCACATTGCTATGACCTCTCCATCCCCGCATCGGAGAAGTGAGAGGCATGGTAGGCCTTGATAATCTAAACTAGGCTTACGCTGGCCTATGACGCGATGCGTTCTGCTTGTCTGCGCATGCCACACCCTCCCTACTCAGTTGCTCCGGCTTTCATTGTTGACACACTTGGGCTCTCCTATTCTTAGTTTCGCAAGATCACCAACAACTTTCTCAACTGGCGAGGTTTTGCATTATGTATAATTGGCCCATGCGCTGTGCACAGCAGCAGCAATATTCCGCTATAACCGACTCGCAAGTGTGTCTGATAGCGCTATAGCAGTATTTTATTTACAAAGGTAAAGAGGAGAAAAAAACGGGGTTTTAGAATAGTGCCTTTACAAAAGACTTCTCGTTTTTTCAGGACTCGTTATAAGTGGACTCCACTGTATAAAATAAACCTAGCAGTTTAAAAATGCTTGCAAATAGCCCCAGTTGTTTAAACAGGATATGGACAAGCTAGTTCTTTGTGGTTTGTGTATATTCACGACTGTTAGTGCGAATAAATGAGTTATTTGTCCAACGGACTGAGCAACCGAAAGTAAGGAACTTCCACGCCGTTTCTCGTAACGAAGCATGGCATGGCGAGGTGTCTCGAAGTTTATTGAATCTCTTGATAATTTTGGTGAAGATTTAAGGGACAGTGAAGTATCAGATAGATATGTGAAGTATTCGATAGATAACTTCATAAATCAAAATGTGAATTCGCCTAGATCTAGTAGTGATGACGATGAATGAGAAAATTACGTTAGACTTCTAGACCAACATCGTCTGTCGGTCGTGAATCTGACTCATCAGCAAGTACGCATCCTGGTCCAGCTGGGGATGATAATAGATCTTACCCCAGTACTATTTCAAATTAGCCCTCAAAGTGGAGAATGTACCAGACCTGGAACATCTAATAACAGATCGAGTCCTAGCACTAGCAGCACTGACAATGAAAATGCTTTTCAGTCTGTCACCGACTATTTTTAGATTTAGATCTAGATTCTAGATGTAAATTTTTTATTTTTTTTCAAAATTAATTATCACTTACCTTTTTATGCTACTTCACTGTACACATTCATGCTTCATTCTCCTTCACACAAACACACACTGCCACAACCATTTTGTGTAAGTTTATTAGTTTTCATTTCTGCTTTGATTTGTCACATCATTTCCTTTCGTTTTTCCAAAAAAAATTTCTGGGGCAAATTTGTCCCAACTTTCTGTCCAATACATTTTTTTGTCTTTCATTCTTCACAAAATGTGTTTATTGTGTCGGTTGTACCCATATCTTATTAAATAGCACTGAAAATTTCAAAGAAATAGCATTTCTTTTCAATTTTTTATGAATTTTCAAAAAGTGGGGGAAATGGATGATCCCCTGGGGCTTGGAGGCAAATCGGGGAGTGGTGCTCAGTGAGTTAACTGTAGATTTACTTTAAATAGCTTGAATTTGTAGAGTGCAGAAAAGTGTGTGTGAAGGCTTTTGGGGGAGGGTGGGGGTACTGGTTAAGTGCCCACCAACTTGTCCAGCTGTGTGGATAAAGTCTGGGTGGGTTTTTTTTGTTGAAAAATTGGCAGCTACAAAAGAAAAAAAAAGAACCTTCCAGAGTAGCAAAAGTTCAAAGTTTTTCGGTTGTGTTTGAAAAATAAAGCTTTCGCTCTTCTGTTTTAGGGTAGTGCATGTGATTTTGATAGCTGATCATTAACTTCTTGTACAAGTAGTGCCCTTTAGCTGAACCTTTTTTTAAATTTTATTTCTTGAACTGTGACCTGGACTAGGACTAGGAGAATTTATTTGGTTACACATCCAGTTCTGACTTATAAATGCATTTTTCAGATAATTCATGCTTATAGCTGTGACAACAAGATAGACAAATCTGTAATTATTGTAATTTCGAAATATGTGTCAAAGACTATCTTCAATTGTGAATATTTGTTAATTTACTGTCAAGTGTTTATGGAAGATTGTCATATGTGTTGGAGGAGATCTGTAAATATAATAAAGTCTTTTGTACATAATCTTTTTTTACACTTGTCTGTTTTCTTGTTGTGTTGTTCCTTGTCTCTCATTGTCAGTTGCTGTTGTGGAAGTTGAATTGTCTCAAAATATATTTTGTTTCCCCCACACTCTCCTTTGTGGATGTTGGCAGGTCCTCTGGTGTGTTTGCTCCTCCTTTCCTATCGGACATGTTTTGTCCTTATATGTCTGTCCTGTTATTACTCTCTTAGACTAACTTAGAGTCTCTAGTAATACCTTTAATCTTTTGCACTTAATATGTGACCTATTTGTGTTGCAAGTGTGGTAAAATCCATATTAAAACCAAAAAAATAAAAGTCTTCTTTCTCTGTCAGTCTGAAATTCTCCTTTTTTCTCTATTTATGTCTCTTTCACCATTTCTCCCTCTCTCCCTATCTCTGTCGGTCTTTCATTATGCTTCCAGTCCATCGCCCCTTTCTTCCCCCACCCTACTTTTTTGTCTACCCATTTTAAATTGAAGAAAATTTTGATCATGTAATGGCCTCCATCACCTGTTGGCTACTGTTCTATTACTGGTCAAACAAACTTTTGTTTAACTGTGCTCGTTGGAAATGGGCATGTGTAAAGTGCTTTCTGGTACAGTGTACCCGTAAGAAATTGAACTAGGAAGAAGCTTGTCGTTCTGTGTCTCCCTTAGGCCTCAAAGCCACTTCAGGAAGTCAACCCACTGTCATTTGTGGGGACGAACTGATGCCAACCACAACATCACTTTCTGAAACTTTCAACAGTCTTTTCATAAGTTTGAAGCAGAGGCCATAATAATATAATAAATAAGCAGGTTTGGCTCTTTGAAAGATGGCGTTTGGGAACAGGAAAAACCCCTCACTCTTTAAAAGCATATCACTTGATAATGTGAGGTAATGGATCATCCGTATTATACTTGTGGTTCTGTATATTTCTATGTAAACAGAAATCCTACAGACAACTGATACTACATGAATTATTAAAAAATGCAACCCATACTTCAATGACGGGGTCATCACTATTCAACTGATTCTGAGAGGAGTGGTGGGTGGTTGGCAGCCACTCTGGTGTGGTTTACTCCTTCATACCTATCCTTCTTATCTCTCCTTCTTTTTTGTGTTTGTTACTCTCTTAAAAAGTATTTTTTCTTCGGCACTTATATGACCATATTATTGTGTTGTAAAACTCTTACTAAAACTAAACTGAGAGAAGTGAAAACTATGGAACCTCAAAACCAGTGCCCTCTATCTCTCTGGTCACCTGAGAAATAAATCAGTCTAAAAACTAAAACAAAGAATCTCTCCAAATCATTGGCTATTATACCATTGTATCAAAGTCTAAGTTGTAAAATTTTCTATAAAAAACAACCAATACTACAGGACAGATCCTGGGGGACAGCTTTGACAAGGTTTATTTCCTTTTTGGTTTTTGCTTCTACGTAATGTTAGTAAACACAGAAAAATCATTTGATTTTTGACCACAGAGCACTTAGCCCGATGATCTGAACAAAGGAGAAGACAGACGATGTGCAGTAAAACTGTAAATGTCAACAAATAAGCACATGCATCTGGGTGAAGATCTTTTCATGTTGTATTTGATAATTGAACTCATTGTTTGATTTGGGCTATCCCCCCCCCCCATTCTTGAAATAGAAATACTGAAAAACAAAACAAATACACCCCCCCCCCCCCTTCTGAAAAAAAACCCAACCAAAAATATGAATACTGAGTGATAAAAAACAAACAACTGTACAACTTTTTATTAATATTTTCATCTACTCTGAAGTTTTGCGTTTCAAATTTATAATAGGGCCTAGGCCCACACAGCATTTAGAAACCAAAAAGAATTTGTGTGATATTCATTTTAGATATCCACAAAATAGTTTTGCTCTACACAGCGCGTAAAAAACGACCTATTTTCAGCTATGTCCCCATTAAAATTTTCGTAGCGTGACACAATAGTGCGCAACAGGCCTACCACAAAAAAATTTCAACGATTGCGCCATATTGCAAACCACAGTAGTATAACAGGCCAACAGATGTTAAAGAGTTCTTTATCTTCAACTCCAAATCATTACGTAAGTTTCGCACAAGGTACGGAAATGATGTTAAAGAGTCCTTTAGGCTTTCTTTGACGTCAAGGGTGGAAGTGGTCCATCAGTTAGTACCAGTGGAGACTCAGAATTAAAAATCCGCAGACAAAACGACCACTTCAGGTTAAACTCACTCCTTGCGTACCCCTGTAAACGTCACCAGGGTGCAG